TTTCAAAAACATCCCAAAATAAACTTTTTTTATTTGTGGTGCTGAGGATGAAACCCAGGGTCATGCATATGCTAGGCAAGCAGTGGATCAGTGAGCTACATTCCCATACTAGACATTCTTTTACTGGACAGATTCAATTTACTGGACAGATTCAATAGACGATGAATTTCTGCAATAGTACTGCTGGACACAACAGTTTTCAGACATAATACTATGCTATGAAACCATGTTTCACAAAAATAACAACCACCACCACCTTTTAAACAATAATCCTTAATCAATGAAAAGTGTTTTTAACTGAAGAAATATGGTCCTGAAATTTGTAACCATAAAATATTATGTGCAACTTATTACTAATGAGGAAAAACTATTCATTCTTGCTCATACTAGAAAGTTTACAAGTATTCTGAACCTGTTCTCTTCAAGAATAACTTTTGGAGCTGTGTTCAGTAGTAAAGTACATGCCTAACACAGTAGGTTAAGTACAGATAGCAATATTGTATATTATTTGGCAGGGTGGGGGGATGTGCGTACTAGTACTGGGGCTTGAACTCAGGGCCTGGGCACTACCCCTTAGCCTTTTTCTCTCAAGGTTGAACCACACCTCCACTTCCAGCTCTTAGTTGGTTAAGAGTCTTATGGATTTGTTTGCCAGGGGCTGGCTTTGAACTGGGATTTTCAGATCTCAGCCTCCTGAGTATCCAGTAATACAGGCTTAATCACCAGAACATGGCAGCAATACTATGTATTTTAAATAAGCTATAAGAAGGGATTTTGATGGGCTGGGAAGGTGGCTCAGTGGTAGAGTGCTTGCCTTGCATGCCTGGGGCCCTGGGTTGATTCCTTAGCACCACATAAGCAAAAAGAAAAAAGCCGGAATTGGCACTGTGGCTCAAGTGGTAGAGTGTTCACCTTGAGGTGAAGAGCTGAGGGACAGCGCCCAGGCCCAGAGTTCAGGCCCCATAACCAGACCCAAAAAAAAAAAAAAAAAAGGATTGAGTATTTTAACCACAAAAAATGATAAATGTTTTTAGGACACACGTTTCCCCTGATTTAAATATTATACAATATATATATCTATCAAAATGACCCACAAATATGTATAGTTTTCATGCTTCAATTAAAAGGTGAAAAAGTAAGATATATTACATCTCCAATCTATTGTCAATTGATGTAACATAATAAAGCTTAAATTAAAATCTTATTGCAAAGGAATTATCATCCTAGGGTTCTGTAAGCCAGGGTTAAACCATAAACAAAGATGTTTTTGTTTTCTTTTCTGCTGATACTTCACTATTTCTACCCAGTGTTTCTTCTAAAGACCTGAAGAATTTGTTGGTTATATACAAAAATGCACTAGAATTGTTTAACATCCCCACAATTTCTCTTACTCCCTAAAATAGCACTATACATTTTTCTTAGCTAACCAAAATAAATTTGGAATTAATCAGTGTATAAAATCCTTTACTAAGCCGGGCGCTGGTGGCTCACGCCTGTAATCCTAGCTACTCAGGAGGCTGAGATCTGAGGATCTCGGTTCAAAGCCAGCCCGGGCAGGAGAGACCGTGAGACTCCTATCTCCTATCACCAGAAGTGGCGCTGTAGCTCAAGTGGTAGAGCGCTCGCCTTGAGCTGAAGAGCTGAGGGACAGCGCCCAGGCCCAGAGTTCAAGCCCCACGACCGACCAAAAAAAATAAATAAATAAAATAAAATAAAATAAAATCCTTTACTAGCTGGGCACTGGTGGCTCACACTTGTAATCCTAGCTACTCAGGAGGCTGAGATCTGAGGATTGCAGTTCAAAGCCAGCCTAGGCAGGAAAATCCGTGAAACTCTTAATTCCAATGAAACACCAGAAAACCAGAAGTGGCGCTGTAGCTCAAGTGGTAGAGTGCTGGCCTGGAGCTGATGAGCTAAGGGACAGTGCCTAGGCCTAGAATTCAAGCCTCACGACCAACAAACAAACAAACAAAAAATCCTGTACTATGTAAATTTGTATCACAGCCCAAAATTACTAAAAATCTCTGATGTTCCAAATGACTGATTATCAATGAACATAAAACTAATCTCATTGGGTAGGTGTTTACTGAAAGCTACAAATCTCAACCAAATTGAACCAAGAGGAAAAAAAACTTTATTATGGTTTTTCTTACATGTAATATAGTGGTTTGAAATAATCAGATTCTTAAAAATTATAAGGCATTTTACTTTAAAGATGTACAAATTAATCTTGTACTGAAGCTATATTAATTCTAATTAACAAATTCCACTTAAAAAGTATACTCCACGGAAGTGGTGCTGTGGCTCAAGTGGTAGAGCGCTCACCTTGAGCTGAAGAGCACAGGGACAGCTCTCCAAGACCAGAGTTCAAGTCCCATGACCGACAAAAAAAAAAAAAAAAAAAAAAGTAAAAAGTATACTCCACTACTCAGGAGGCTGAGATCTAAAGATCATGGTTCAAAGCCAGCCCAGGCAGCAAAGTCTGTGAGATTCTTATCTCCAATAAACCACCAGAAAACCGGAAGTGGCACTGTGGCTCAAGTGGTAGAGTGCTAACCTTGAGCTGAAGAGCTGAGGGACAGCTCCCAGGCCCTGAGTTCAAGACCCACCACCAAAAAAAAAAAAAAAAAGTATACTCCACTTAAGAACTTTTTAAAGGGAGAAATATTCAAAAGTAATAAATGGAAGTAGTTAAATTATATCTTTGGTTAAGCCCAATTATTCAAACTGCAATTCAAAAGCAGATTATTTTTTAACTTTAGTAAAAATTTTCCTGCTAAATGAAAGCTACTTTAATAGAAATTAAAATTATGTATTTTAGCTGACACCAATGGCTCATGCCTGTAATCCTAGCTACTCAGGAGGCTGAGTCTGAGGATCAAGGTTGGAAGACAAGTCAGGCAGAAAAATCCCTGAGAGATTCTTATCTCCAATTAACCACTCCAAACAGGAAGTGGAGCTATGGCACAGGGATAGAACCTTGAACAAAAAGAGCTTAGGGACAGTGCCTCAGGCCCTGAGGATAAGCCCCATGACTAACCCCCCCCCAAAAAAAATATACTTTAGATGAAATATGTTAGGAAATTATGATGAGTAGCATGGGAAAATAAACCTAGCTCACAATATTCTATAACAATGTAATATTGAATGTGCTTTCTCCAACTATATCTGATAAGATCCCCACAGGAATACCAGTAAAACAAGGAAAATGGATACTCCAAAAAACAAAGTACAAATCAATTACGGTACCTTACATTCCACAATTCTGTTCAAAGACATGTGACAATTAACTGAAAGTACTAGAAACAACGAAATACCATTGGTCTGTACAGTTATTACAAGAAAAAGATATCTATAATAATAATCCTTTAAACTTGTATTGTTGTGGTATTCATTAAACTTTTAAACATTTTAAATTTGCGTTGTTGCTCCTTTTATGAAATTAGCACAGCATATCATCTGTCCACTTTGGTCCTAGAGGTTTTAATCTATCCATATCAAATTACACTTATTAGTGCACAGACAAATACAAATCTTACTATGTCATTGGGGCTTATAATGTGTTTATTCAATAGTAGTCCGTTATAGTCTTAAAACCTCTATTGCCTACTCTGACCATTCTTAGATTCTAAGAGGGAACCCTACGGGAAGGGAATTCTGCCCAGGCTGGGACAGAAATTGATTAATTAAAATCGACCCTCCGCAGGAAGGGATGTGGTTCCCACGTGTCCTGCTGTATGAACTGCAAGACCGTGCTCAACACCTTATCCACCTTGCGTTTTACTAATACTGGTAAAGGGTCCTTATGGTTCACCCTCAACTCCCAAGCAAACAACGGTTCAGGACCAGCTGTTGTCATTCCATATTCACTCTTTGGTAACTCCAGGTTCCAGATAAACTCTAGCACACAGCCCCTGGATAAAGGATGAAGTGAAGGGCAGATATATAAATACTCATTGAAAATAAAAAAGAACATCCTTGCAGGCCGCTGGTGCCCCACATTTGGAATCCTAGCTACTCAGGAAGTTGAGATTTGAAGAACGCCGTCCAAAGCCATCCTGAGCCGAAAGGTCCACGAGACTCATCTCCAATAAATGACCAGCTATGGCTCAAAGGGTAGAGAATTGGCAGCCATGAGTTCACTCCCTAGGACTGGTTGTTTTGTTGTGGTTGTTGTTGTTTTAAGACACACTCAAGATACCCAGGGCGATGGCTGGAGGAGATAGGTACCAAGCGAACTCTCGAATTAGCGCTTGCAAAATACCCTTCGTATGTCTGGAGGTTCTTCTTTGGAGAAAAAAGGTGAAGAATTATGACTGTTCAAGACCGTGAAATCTGGGGCAGAAAAGGAGGGGGCCGAGAAGTGTCCAGGTAAACCCCAGGGACGCGAGGACCTACCCAGCCAGACCACGGGCTGGCTGGAAAGAAGCCTGTATCTGGGCAGCGGTGCCCTAAGAGCCAGGACCCGAGCGCTCGCCCGCCCGACGGGCTCGCGGGCGAGGTTTCAAACCGCCGCCCGGGGGAGGCGCTCAGCCGATTGGAAGTTTCACAACGCCCGTCACTAGCCCAGGGCCGGAGCCGCAACTCAGCAGCGAACCCCCCCCCACCCCCCGCCCCCCCCCCCACCAAGCCCTCAGCTTCCCCAGGAAGACAAGACCCCACAAACTCCACCTCCAACCGAGGTCCCAACTGGAGTCCCGCCACCAGCCCGAGGCTCGATCAAAGCCACCCTCCCCCGCCCCCAGCGCCGCCGCCCTCCGACGGGACCGACGCCCCCGACCGGGGAGCGCCGCGGGAGTTCCAGGGGGCGCGACGGCACCGCGCGGCGGGGGCGGGGGGGGGGGGGACGGGCAGACTCCGTCCTTCCGAGTCCGCCCCTCGACGCGGCCGCACGAGCACCTCCGCCTCACCCCGCCGACACGGTCCGGCAGGGCTCCGACCCACCCATCCCGCCCCGTAGAGGAGCGGAGCGAGCCCACTGCCCCCGCCCGTGCTCTTACCCATCTTTCCGCCTCGCCTTGTAGACGTGCCCGTAGGTGCCGCGTCCCACTTTGCACCCTTCGTACTCAAACAAATCCTCCACCCGTTCCCGCTCCGCCGCCAGCTTCGCCTTGAAATCATAATCCATTGTCTGCTTCCCCCATAGAGGCACCGGGACGCGGGGGCCGCCGCCGCTCAGTCCCACCTCCTCCTCCTCCTCCTCCTCCTCCTCCCCCCGCGGCCGCCGCTCCACTTCTCCAACAGCCGCCTCTCAGGCACGCGCGCGCGCCGCCCGCCGCTTCGCGGGCGCCTTCAGCAAGCGACGCCGCGGCAGCCACCGCCTCCTCCTCCACCTCCTCCTCCTCCTCCTCCTCCTCCGCCTCCTACTCGGCGGCGTCGGCGACGGCGGCAGCTCCAGCAGACACCCCCAGTCCCGCCTCCCCCCTTCATTTCCTTGTTTTGGAACCTGGTGGGCCGAGCCGCGGCTTCCTCGAACTCATTAATGAACCAGCCGGTCCGGCCCCCTGTGTCACGGTGGCTTCTGGGATATGTAGTCCCAAGGTCTTCGAGAGCTATGGAAGTGTGGCTAGCACGAAATACAGTTCCCAAGCTGCTGTGGGCACCTTCAGCCCCGCTCCCCCTAGGCACGTACGCCTGCGCATTGGCGCCTCCTGGCTGCCCTCACTCACCCCTCCCAACCCAGGTAGCGTTCGACCGAGTTCCTGTGGAGGCATAAAACGCACTTAGTGAGTTTTTTCTGAGCATGCATGAGCGGGAGGGAAGAAGGCAGTTGCTCTGCTAAGAAGGAACTATTTCTGCCCCATCAGTCACTGGGCTGGGAAGACAGAAAAAAAAAAAAAGCACTTATCAAGCACCTGGCCCAGAAGCTTGCTCCTGAGGCTGGATGACAAGGACTGGGTAGGACAGTTGAATTGCAGATTGCGGTTTGTTTTCTAGGGCTGTTGGTCCGCCTGTTGCCCCGCCCCATCCAGCAGCTCATTGGTGGAGACTGAAGAATGACGTTCTAACTAGTGTGTGGGTATCCCCAGGCTTTGGCTTCTTTCCCGCTCTTGATTAGATATGTTGGGTTCTTCCTGATAGGTTACTCTTTTTTCCTTTACGTTGCAAAAACTGTATTTCAAAACCTGAAAACTCAGCGGTTTCCTAGCTCTTGCAGAAGGGAACTGTAACTTCTGAGCCACGGCAGCCAATCATCTTATTCTTGGCTCTGTAGTTGGTTTTCTCCTAGCATATGTGATTGCAGTAGCCAAGCTTGAGCCATCTGTCTGAGGACAATTGAAGTGCCTGAAGATGCAGCCTTTTAAGAACAATCATATGGGTTGGACTGTAAAGAGTTTTTACAGCCTATGCATAATGGTGAAGTCCTCCCAGAATGTTTAAGCAATTCTCTTTAATCAGAATGAACATGAATTCATCATGGTTTAGGGCTCTAGATACACCATGGCCAAAAACATGATTTAGGAGACTGTAATGTGCCCCTCTGGCATTTTAATAACTTTGTACTTAAATTGGTAACCAACACGATGCACACTTCAGCTCCCTTCTGCTGACTACAGCATTAATTTGTAAAGAGAACCTTGCATTTATTTATTTAGCCAATCTGGGGCTTGAACTGAGGACCTGAACACTGTTGCTAAGCTTCTTTTGCTCAAGGTAAGCACTCAACCACTTGAGAGCCACGGCACCACTTCCAGCCTTTTCTGTTTATATAGTACTGAGATATCGAACTCAGGACTTCATGCATCCTAGACAAGCTCTCTACCAAGCCACATCACTATTAAAATTATCTGTATCATCTATTTCTAGATAAATTTTATGATCCAGGAGACTGCATACGGAGGCAGCTTTTATTTACCTTTCACTTCCTTCCCTCACCTTAATTTGTCTCCACTGCCCCCATTTGGATTCCAAGTCCAATCAAGAGACTACATAAGAACCAGGCATCTACTCATGTTTGTAATCTTAGCTACTTAGGATCGTGGTTTGAAGCCAACCTGGGCAACAAAGTCTATGAGACTTTTATCTCCAATTAACTACCAAAAAGCTGAAAGCGGAGCTGTAGCTCAAGAGGTAGAGCACTAGCCTTGAGCAGGAAAAAAAATTAAAAAAAAGCTGAGTGAGAGAGAGAACTGCTGTTTTTGTTAGAGTAGCTCCTCGAGAAATTTGCTCAAATTTCAAAAGTGTCAGTTTTGGTCTGGGGCCTGACACAAGTAGTAGAGCACCTGCCTAACAAGCAGAGCCCTGAGTTCAAATTCAAGTATACCCTCCCAAAAAAATTAGAGTTAAGAACCTGAACTGCTCTTATTGCCAGGCTCTGTGGTAAATGTTATAGATAAAAAGTGAAAATTAGTCTTTTTATATTGGGAAACTGAATCTACCAAATAAGCACACATAGGAAATGGGCTCATTACCTTGCTCATGTAACTGTAACCCTTCTGTACAGTATCTTTGCAATTAAATATATATATATAATAACTTTCCAATATTAAGAGAAAAGAGTTGGTGGAGAACTATAAAAGGTAAATCTTTATAGTATAGTACAGGACTAAAATATGCAACACAAAGAAGACAGGATCCAGATACACGTAGTGTCATGTAGAAGATAGAATTGGATTCCCAGCAGCTGTGCTAGCAAGTGGGTAGGTTGCCAGGAGACTGAAGAAAGTATCCAGACATGATGTGTGAGACCTAAGGATTATTGAAACTCGCTAACAGAGCAATTCCAATAGCAAGCACTTAGCCTGTGCACAGCACTCTGCTGAGTAGTCCAGTGGCAGTGGGCTGGAAGAGCAGTGTCCTTTCCATGTACCAGTCATCACAAAGAGAGGGGCTTTACAGGTTAGTTTGTATAAGCACTGACATCTTTAGCTTGCTTTGTTCCTTTGACCAGCATTCCAAGGAACATATCTTGTGTGTACATGCAGGAAAGCAGGTTTTCTTCTAGATAACACTAGTTTGCCCAGTTTCTAGTGTCCTTCAGATAACATTATTCCAGTCCTGGCCTTTCAGGCCTGCCACCATTGTCCCTTTGATTACCTAGTGTTTTGGGAATGGAATCGGGCATCTCAGGGGTAAGGTATCTGATGTCTTCATTTTCTCAAGGATCATACAAGAGAAAAGTTCTCTGAAAGTGGATGGATTATGTACTTATGAAAGAAGGAATTCTTAGCTGATTGCCTGTGGCTCAGGCCTATAATCTTAGCTACTCAGGAGCCTGAGATCTGAGGATTGAGATTCTAAGCCAGCTTGGGCAGGAAAGTCTCTGAAACTCTTATCTCCAATTAACTACCAAAAATGCCAGAAGTGGAGTTTTTTCTTAAGTGGTAGAGCACTAGTGCTGAGCAAAAGGACTCAGGGACAAAGCCAGCACTGGTGGCTCATAACTGTAATCATAGCTACTGGGAGGCTGAGATCTAAGGATCACAGTTGGAGCAGAAAAGTCTGTGAGACTCTAATTGCCAATAAACTTCTCAGAAAAAGCTGGAAGTGGCACTGGGGCTCAATGGTAGAGTACTAGCCTTGAGCAAAAGAAACTTAGAGATATCGCCCAGGCCCTGAGTTCAAGGATCAACACAGGAAAAAAAAAAAAACACTCAGGCCTTGACCTGCACTAAAAGAGAGAGACAGAGACAGTGACAGACAAACAGGACATTTATTTTGTCCTCACTCCATAATTAGTTGATCCCTTGCTTTATGTGCAAGGCAGCATATCATAACAGTAGTGTATGGTGAAGTAAAATCTACTCATGCTTTGGCCAGGAAATTGTCTCTCCTTAGAGAGCTTCACCCATTAACTTCTCTTAAGGCTTACTATCTAAAGGTTTCATTGTCTCTCAGTAGTGCCATACTAGCAACCAAAGACATGGCCCTTTAGGGGAGAAAAAGCTACCAAGATTCAATCATGGAAGCTCTACCTAATGACCTTAGCAAATCCTCACTGTCTCACAAAGGCCTTACCTGCAAACACCATAGATTTAGTTTCCATCCTCTTAATACGTCAAGATAAGGATTAAAATTTCAACACCAGATGACTAACCATAGCATTGTCATAAACCCTAGTTTGTATATATTAAAATTACTACCTCTAAGCTGGGTGTGGTGGTGCACACCTGTAACCTCAGCTACTCAGGAGACAGAATCAGATTGATCTCAAGTTCAAGGATGACCTTGGCACATTTTATTTCTTCTTTTTATTTAGTTGCTGTCAGTTATTTTCCCCTTCTTGGTATGTGCAAGAGGCACAAGGCTTATAATATACAGAGAATGTGTAGTTGCTACTGTCACTAAAGCACTCATTTTCTTGGTTAATATAAGAAACTGTCCTTGCCTTTGCTACCAGAAATATACTGAGTGGCAAATCAGATTTTGGAGCCACTAACTGCCATGTAAATCTTGCTACTCTTCTGAGAAAGCTATTCCTACTACATAAACATTGATTTAAAGTCTGAGAACAAAGCTGCCTTTGGTATAGATGATTTATGCTTGAAGGCTGTTAGGGAAACAGACACTAGATTTCCTAAGTACAAAGTTGTTGTCAAGGCAGCCGATGAGGAGGAATAGGAAGGAATGGAGTTAAGAATCAAATCTCAGGACTGGGAAGATGGCTCAGTGGCAGAGTGCTTGTCTCACATGCATGAGGCCCTGGGTTCAATTCCTCAACACATAAACAGAAAAAGCCAGAAGTGGCACTGTGGCTCAAGTGCTAGAGCACTAGCCTTGAGCTGAAGAGCTGAGGGACAACACCCAGGCCCAGAGTTCAAGCCCCAAAACCGACAATAAAAAATAAAATAAAATAAAATCTCACCCAAAATGTGCATGGGGAAGGATATCTGTGATACTGGAGGCTGAGATAGGAAAATTGAAAGTTCAAGACCAGCCATGACCATATATCAAGATCCTGTCTCAAAAGAAAAAGGAAAATTAAAGAAAGAAAACAAAAGGAAAGGAAACAAAGAGAAAAATAATCAAACGATTGTCTATTTGCTGAAGATGCAGACCAAACAAAGGGAGAGCTGCCTGCAAGCTGCTGATAGGAACACCTTGATTGATAGCTATGGCCATTTCCTAGAGCTGCTGTGAAAAATTACCACTGAGTAACTTGAAACAGCAAGAATTGATTGTCTCACAGTTCTGGAGGCAGTAATCTAAAAACAAGATGTTTGAAGGGCTAGTTTTTCT